CTGTACTTTTTGTCACCTCAGCTGAAAAATATGATTCTTCTCAGTTTAATCAGCATTTTATAATGACTTCTATTGAAAACACAGCCTGTTGTTTTTTCCTTGATAGCCTGTTAAATATATAGGGAACAGTGGATTAATTTATTGGACTAAGAACTTACTAAAAATGTAGCAGCCACCAAAAGCAGACTTTGGTCTGAATAGCAGAACACACCCTCTCTATTTAATGAAATTTGCATTTTTATGGCTCTTCAGGTTTTTAAAAACACTTTAGAGACTGCAGCACCAGTATAGATTTTCAGACCGTCATTCTGTAGAACAAAGATTTGCCTTAGTTCGTGAGGCAACTATATAATTATTGGCCATAGCATTGCCTTGCTGTTTCATGATTCTGATTAAAATTCCCCCCCAAAACTGTCCTTTTGGTTAGAAGACATGCCCCTTGACTGCTCTTCACCTCAAGGATACCAAGTAAAAACCACTGAAAATGTGTTGCTTTTGTGCTAGTTGCATGTTTGCTGGAAATACAATGGAGAGCAGATAAGTACCAGTTGTCCGGGGGGGTGGGGGGGGGCACATGCAGTTCTCCACACAACTGATCTGTGCTAAATACTGAAGCATGGCCTTGAGGTGCAGAGCATCAGGTCCTGTAGATATTTCCCCATTTTCCTTGTTCCCAAGGGCATAATGAGAAAGTTGTTTTTATGGTCACTTGAAAGCCTTAGATACCAGGTGACAGTAACCTACAAAATCCTTGTTTATGCTTGTATATGCAGTAGCTTATACATTCATCTGATTTTGAAAGAAGAAAAAAATCTCTCTCAGACTGGTTCTTTTCCATAAGCTTCGCTTTTCAACTAATGGTGGAAGATGGAGAGGAGATCCTCAGCCTGTACTTCAACCCTTGAATTACTTCTTTGTCAGTAAATTTTTTTCTAGGTTGAAGAACTGTTTCCTCACTGAAATTACTGTGTTTATCAGAGTTCTACTAAGCTTACTACTTTTCAGCAGCTCACAGACAAAAGATATAAACAGCATAAGAAGCCAGAATTTAAGTATTTGTTCATCTGTCTTTTGAGACATCTTCCTTTAATTTGATGCTATCTGACTGAAAAGATAGTTTTGCAGCTCTTCAGCAGTGATGGTGGGCAAACAGGGAAACAGGCAAACATTTTTGCTAACTGTCCATCCATGTGAGGAGTACAGGGAGAAAACAACTTTCAGACCCAGCTTCTAACTTCCTACAGGTTTGACAAGAGGATTCAGAAGGCCCAAAGCAAGAAGCCCTTTTCTTTTCTGTATTTTAATTCCTGCTGTTGAGATGGAGCTTTACTCTGTGGATGCCAGCTTTGGTGTCTGTGTGTCATTCATAGTTCCCCAAGGGGAAGCTCAAAGGGTGGCTGCTTCCAGATGGGCCTGCCAAGTAATCCTGGCTGCTCAGCAGGGTGCCACCTTCTGTGAAGTGACAAGGACCTAAAGAGATGAAGAGGGAAAGCAGCGTGAGTCCATCCCAGGAGGTGAAGATGCAAGTCCTTTTCTCTGTATAAATTGTCCTTGAAGGGAAAGTGCAGGTAAAGCTGCATCATGAAACAGATGTTCAGATGGTGGTGTCAGATGACCACTGCGCTTTTTAAGGTCAGTTTTACCTCTTGACACTGCCCAAAAGTGCATGTAACTGTCAATTGTTTCTTCTGAAAATTTGTTCTGCTTTAATAAATTGGAGAAATTCCTTGTTCTAGTTAAGTCCAGAAATAACAGATGGTTCATATATCAGGCATCAGCAAATCCTAAAGTTATTGGCATGACCCCTGTCCATGTCCTGTTGAAAAATCTACCTGTCTGCAGGATTAGATTGCCCAAGAGTTTGGTGTTTTCTGCAAGACCAATAGTGTAAATTTCACCTGGTTCTAACACACTGTTGTTTGACTTAAAAGCTGTCTTCTGCAAAGGTATTGAGGATTTACTCTGGTTGCTGGTGTTCCTTGTTGTGTTTTGGAGAGCATTAGTGCTGAGAAGTTCTAACTTCCTGAATGTTCAATTTAATGAGGCTGGGCAAAGCTGAACTGTATTTTCATCATCCATGCACGTGGAAGTGCTGTTACTGATTTTGGGTGACAACAGGATTAAGGGCATGTGACTTGAGGCTGACATCTTGTCAGACTGCTATGAACCTCTCCTTCAGGTTAGCATGGAACATGGAAATTAAACAGGCCCTGCAGGTATTGGGATAAGTTGTTGTGGTCAAAAGCAAGTCAGGTTTTTTTGTTGGTTTTCTTTTTAAGTGTCTGCAGCACTGTAGATCATGACCTCTTTGATCTTTATCAGCATGAACTGCACATAGCAATAGTATTCTCACCAGTTTTCATTAAGGTTTCATGCTCATCCAGCATTTCTAAAGAGAATGTTAAGGCTTTACAGTTGAGTATGAGAGCAGTAATAAGAAAGAACAGTCTCTAATATGTGACCGAAGTAAAACGGAGATTATACCTTACGTTTATATAGCATCTTCTAACCTAGAGTGTTCCATGACAGTTAGGGAATTTATTGAACTATTCCATTCACCACTGCTTCTTCATCATGAGTCACTCTAGCTGGTTATCAGTGCTTAGCCCTGCTGCACAGTAATCAAAGAGGGGAAATGGAGCCAGGCTTCCCATGCTGAGGAAGCCTTCCAGACTTTCTAGCCAAGTAGGGTAACTATTAAATACACTGACAAAGCAGACTGGAGACAAGGTAGACTAATACAGTTAATGCTATTGCGTGGTGCTGACAGCTGAGAATTTTATATTGCTTGTGGAGCTGTTGGCATTGCTTCTTTCAATATACATTTTTCTCACATAATCCCATGCTGTGACATGCTTGATGTATCATCTCAATAATGTGGAAAAACTGAGGAAATTCAGTGAAATGGCTGTATTTTAGTACGGTGTCTGTCAAAGGAAAGATATCAGTCAATCACAGGCTGGAAAAAGCAAGCAATGTCTTATCGCTATGTGAGACTGAAATTCTTAACGTCCCTTTGTGCAGACCTGTGCCTCCATTTTCAGGTGCTTTACTCCCCTGAACAGTCACGTATTTAACCTGAATTGGGCACAAGTGTAAATCATGCAGTATTTCACAGTGGAGAACCCTTTCCCCATATTCCAGCAGCAAGGAAGAGCTGAGGTGAAACAATAACAGAAACTTCAGTTACTGCCTGAGGAGATCTGCTGTACCAATGAAACAATTAAAATGATGCCATAACTGTATATACAATTACAAGAAATGAGTTTAGGAGACTGCTGTGGCAGTCTATGAAGAAAGATTTAAAATTTATTGTTTAAATGTTTGGATTATTGGGTCTGCTGATGCACTAATTCATGAGATGACCACTCTTCTGCAAGCGAATCAAATCACTTTCCACTTAGAAGAGATTTCAGGGACATCCCATTGAACTGGTTATTCATCTGACATAAGAAAAAATTCATGTTGCAGCAGTAATAGTGATTTGAAGTCATACTGATTGCAAGTGGAGATAACAAAAATTTTTTGAGATAGACCAGCATCTGAATGAGGGTAGCTGATATCTTTTCTCACCTTATGTTCTTATTATGCTTTGCATCACTGCTATCAAAACCATCATATTTAGCTAGTCTAAGTGAAGAGATTAAGAATTGAATTTGTAAGTAAGGCTGTTTTCATTTTTGTGGTGGCCTCACCTTGGCATAGTCAGAGCACATTGACACAGCTATGTGAGAAGACAGCAATGGTAGCACTGGTTTGCATCTATTTAGTGACTGGTAGCATCTGTTTGATGATTAGCTAAAGAATTTCAGCTGTCAGAGCTGTCAATCTGACGCCTTTGATGAGCACTAAAATCAGTCTATGCTACCAAGAACTGTTCATTTTTTCCCATGCTTTTGATTTGCTTGACTCTTTGTGTCCTTGCCGATAACTACTAGCAAGGCTAATGCATTATAAACTCTGAAAAGTAAAGAAAGCAGCTGTCATTTTTTGCACAACAGATGTTCCTGATCAGGAATCAGACAAAAGATCTCATCACTCCTCCTCTGAGCAATTTAATTTGCCTGTTCCATGGCGCACCAGCCACCTCTTTCATTTCAGGATCAGTTCCTTTAATCTTACAGAATTATCAAGTTTTTTTCTGTGCAGGGCAAAGAGAATGGAAAAAAGGAAATTGCTTCATTGCTTACGGTGTCACCAATGATGCATCATAATGAAAGGTAGCAAAGGCCTACTTCAAAAATAGGAAACCCAAGTACTACATTTTAAGAGAACTAGAAAGTACTCTATGAGCACTTTTTTTAAGAAATAACAATATAGAATTGATAGTGTTTCTTTAGCAGTTTTAAGGCTCAGAGTTACGTAAAAGCAGTATATAATCCATCAGATTCTTGTGATGCAACTTAGGGGGATGAAAAAATTGATGTATTCTATAAGAAAAGTTGTTGCTGTGGATCCTGTTCTGCACTCCTTAATCATGCAAGTTGTCCAAAATCAGTAATTACTGGGGGCTTTGCTTGCTTTTCCATTTAGTTCGGTAAAACTGTCGCTCTGCTGCTGTTTTGTACTGATGGATGGGTACTGCTGGAGATGTTACATTTATAGCTATTCTACAGCTTATTTCCCAGTTATTAGTCTAGCACAGGACAGTCATTTTGCCTATGCACAGCTCCTGACTTGCCACCAGATTGATCCAGTATGTGCCCAATTGGTGGGGCAATTGTTGCTCACTCTGCAAAGGAGGCTGCTCACTGTGCCCCATGTTCCTACCAGTATCTGCCAAAGGCTTGCTGGAAGGGCGAGGCAAGGGAAATTGGCCTTATCTTGTGTTGGTGGCCAGCCCTGCACAGAAATGGGAACTGCTGCTGACAATGCAAACAGTAGTATCTGAGGCCATAGTCACAGCTGTCAGTCTTGATAAACGCGGAAAGTGTATTTGAGAAGCTCCTGGTCGTCCGTCACTGAGAAACCACTCATATGACCTCTTTTTGATTTGGCAGGTTGACAGGACAGAAGTGATTCGGACCTGTATAAATCCTGTCTTCTCCAAGCTGTTCACAGTGGACTTCTATTTTGAAGAAGTGCAGCGACTGCGATTTGAAGTGCATGACATTAGCAGCAACCACAATGGGCTGAAGGAAGCGGATTTTCTTGGTGGCATGGAGTGCACTCTTGGACAAGTAGGTATCACTGCCATTTTCTGCCCTCGACCCTCTTCTTTTGTATATATGTTAAATATATTGCTTTGGTAAATGACTGATGGGTGAGGTTTTTCATTCGTGACAAAGTTCTTAACTGGTGCTTTGAACAGGATAATTAAGAACTTCTGGTGGTTTGATTTACTGCTGTAGTACAGCTTCAAGTGAGCCAGTGCTTATAGGAAACAGAGCATCAGTGGTTGGCTCTGGACAGTAAAAGCCCATGCTCATTAGACTGGTGTTGGAAAATAGACTGATCTGGGAGAAAGTCACTGTTCCTAACATTATATGGGATTTAGCAAGTTCCAAGTCCAAGGAACACTTAAAAATACCATTTATTCACAGAGGGTAGTATCTGGTGATGTGGCAAATAGAGAAATAGGGTTGGATTAATTTCTCTGACTCTCAGTCATCCTGAAGTTAGGTGTCTAGACTAAGTTACTCTTCTGATTTCCATCTTTAGTTCAGTGGAGAGAAACAGACAGTTCCAACAGCTGATTTGTTCTACCTGAGAGAGCCATCACAGATGAGGATAAATTATCTTCAGGAGATACCTCTCTTTCCTCATCAGTTGTCGGGAGAGTCTAGACAGCTGGTTTAGGATAGCTAGCTAACTTTTTAAATTGCTAAGTTTAAAGGTGAGAAGTCCTCCTCACAGTATTGATATTTAGAGGTCATCAGAGCCAGTTCTGTAGTGAGTTCCCATACTGCTGACTGGTAGCACGCTACAGTGTCCCAGGTATCACAGTTTATTTCTAACTGGCAGCATTTTTGTCATGCAGTGTTTCATAACACAGATTTCTGCTTTGTCCTTAATCTCAATGCCAAGGATGGTCTCAGTTTCACTGAACTGAGTATAAATTTGCTCTCTGCACCCTCCATCACGCAATCTCCAGCTTGTGTGATGAGAGCAGGCAGTGCTTTTGTTTAGATTACGCTTTGCAGTACTTCCACAGAAGTTTGTATTCTGAACATAGTAGTTTGTCATGGAAAATGCTGCAAAGCTTTTGTTTCCTGTTTTCTCACCTCTTGTTGTTCCTACCTCAGCCTCACTGCACATGAATCACTGATTTTTTTCCCCAGAGCTATTGGGCAAATGCTGAATGAAGAAAAGCTCTCCCAGTGAGAGAAATAGTATGAAATATGTGCATTTACTAAATTGAAAGCTCAATATGAAGATGTTGATATTTAGGGTATTTACAGTGCTCTGTAAAGTCTGTTCCTTTTGACAGAATTCTTGTGTCAAAATAAGCTATCCTATAAGACCAAAGAGAATGGGAAACAAAGAAAAATGTTATTATAATGTTCTTCTCTCTTAATTGGCTTGAAAAGGAAGGGAGGGAAAAATGTCGTTGCTGCTGCCTGTAGCATAAATGTCTTTATAATGATTTGATCTCTATAAATAGCACACAGCTGAGTTGGTTGCAGTGTAATTTTAATGGTAACCAAGCAAAAATAATAACAGTGTGAATTCTATTCACAGTAATGTAGCCTGGAGGACTCTGATCTCATATTAAACCTTTTTTGTGGCGTTCCTTCCCCTCCTTTTCTAGTTTATTACCTTTATATGATTCCTCAACTGATATAAAAATAGTAACACTGGAATTGTCATTCACGTAAAGCCAGCATTGAAAATCCTGCACCATAGTCTGTACGTACAGAGCTTACGCTCATGGTTAGCTGTTTGGTGTAATTACAGCATATTTTTTTCATGATGATAATAGAGCCATGGCTTTTCTTGAGATAAATTTGACATAAATTTGTTGTTCTACATCACTCTAATGCCTGAATAAAACAGGATTTTATGTCAAAGTGCCTCTAAATTCACTTTCCCAGTTCAAGTAGGCCTTATCTGAGACATCAAGGAAGGCTGTCGATTTTTGGGCATAGTCTGAAAAACTGACTCCCCTCCCACATCTCCGTAAGTGCCAACTTCTATGCCCTCTTCTAGGTAATAATTGATCTATGAGAGATTCACTGCTACCTGTACCTGTTTATAGATCATCACTTAGATATGAAGTAAACCTACATGTTTGCCCAAATCATGTAATACTCTTACCAAAAACAAAATTAATAGGAATAATAAATGCTGGGAAAGGCAACAGCGTAGTTATAAAGTAAGCGGACAGAGAGGAGTGAGTTTTCTTTCTTCTGATCTCAGTCTTACATGTAGCCTACCAGATGGGTACAAGTGTGTTGGAAATTTGGGGTCTTGGATGCAAACAATGAAGAAATGCATTAATTTGGAAGGTGTCAGTAATCTCCTCCCAAATACTCAAATAAATCTGTGTGATAGCGAGCAGTGACTTGTTAGATCCTGAACCAATACACTCTGATGACATCCCACTGCATGTGCAGCAAGATTTAGTTCTATTGCTCTTGCCATGACATTTCAATTTTGTGCCTCTACTCGTAAATACTGTGGTTAAAAGCATCCTGGCATGCAGTCAGTTATACCTGGATGCGAAGAGTAAATGCATCGACAGGCATTTCCTACGCCACAGCATTTAAACACAGTAGAATAAATGGCTGTGGATAGATACCTGCTGGATATAATTAGGAAAACGTCAGTGTCCTAAATAGAGGCATTTCCTTCAAGTGATTTATCTTGTCCATCATGTTCAAAAGTTACCTTTTCAAATAAAACAATAGGAGATTATCTCTTGAAGGGTTTGACAGGAGGAAGTTTGGTGTGAGGTGTTTGGGGGAACCTTTTTTGTGTGTTTTTAAGTACTAAAAGTCTGTTCCTTCCACTCAGAAAGGCTCTTTCTACATTCCAGGCTTCCAGCTTCTTGAGTTTCCTGGTAATGTGCAGATTGGCAGAATGTTAACAAATATGTTCCGTATAGTTGGAATGACAGCCAGATCAAAAAAGCCCTAAAATATTACAGGAGGTAGTAAAGTTGAAAGTGCAGACAAATTTTCCTCGGTTAGTAGCAAAATCTTAAAATAATGGTTTGCAATTATAAGTTGTTTATAAATTGAAGTTTCTTAAGGAACTTTGCATCAAGAAATGTACCATACTCCAAGCAATTAAGCTGACCGTGCTGTATTGCTTAAGTAAAGTGACGTTGTTAAAAGGTAGGCTAAAGCACATAACTAAAACCTATACTTTTAAAAAAATGTTATTATTTTCCATCTTAGAGTTAATTTCTGAGTAACTGCATAAAACTAATATCTAATAATACTGGTTTTAGCAATTAAGTTGTACAGTCATATGGTAGCTATTTAAGCAAGGAAATTATACTGTGTTGTTCTTGTAACCTCACAAAGATTATTCTTAATTGGAAGCATATTTGTGAAATTAGATTCATAGAATCCTGGAAGAGTCTTGGTTAGAAGGGGCCTTAAAGACTATCTAATGTGTTAGTGCCTTAATATGTTCTGAGCTTCTAAAGCTCTCTTGTTGGAATTGTTTGGTTTCATATTCCATAAAATTTACAGAACATTAAAATTGCATCATTTAGTACAGTAAGGGCACAAACTTTCTAATAGCCAAAGTTAACTACTTAACCACACAGGAATGATGTGTCAGGAGGATGGCTTAGAAAGACTTTTTCCTCTGAAGTTTCACCCTGAAGTTTTAATCTATTCTTTAAGAACTCACAAAAATTATTTCAATGAATAAACATTTTCTGATGAGAACTAAACAAACTCATGTTGCCAAGACATTCTTGATTACTGTTCAGCTGTGCCTGCAATGTCATTAAATTATGGGAACCAGTAAAGTTGTTATTTCTTAAATGCTGTGAATCACCCCAGCTTTATGGGCTGGGTTATTCTCTGTGACATATTCTGTTGGCGTAGCCTTTGTGGCTTTTCTTTCAGTACTTACCGCAGCTAATCTTTGCCATTTTCGAATTCAGGATTCTATTCCTTATTTAGTTTCTTTTAATTTACAGATGTGTTAAAATGTCATTATTCCCTTACTTGCTCAACTAGTAGCAGAAGAAAATCGCAGAGTTGTAAATTTTTTCCTGTCAAGAACCTTTTCAAGTATTATTTTGAGATTTAATATTACCCATACACACACTTGTGTACAAATTAGATTGGAAATCTTCCTTCTCAGTAACAAGTATAATTGTTTCTTGTGTGCTTTTGATAATATATGCCATTAGCAGATTATGCACTTGAAAATGCTGACTGATTATTAGTTCAGTTTCAGCAACTGCAAATCTCCTTGCTCTTGAATTAGAGAAAGGCTAAAAGATCCATGATTGCACCTGAATTAATTAAACTGAAGTAGTCTGTATGAGAATATTTGTTTAATAGAGTGTCAACTGCTTCTGTGCAAAAGACATAGGACCAGTTTTTTTCGAAGTATTTGAATTCCTAAATCTCATTAGGTGTCTGTATGCCTCCTTAGGCATCTGGGTACCTTTAAATACTTGGCCTTTGATCTCCTCCAAATGAAGTTGCTCTATTCATTAGTGGGATGAATAGTGTACTTTATCAGATGTGAATGTCATTTTCTACCAGGGCTGACTCAGAGCACAAGCAACTCATGAATGCAGCACTCTCCCTAACCTTACCAAACCCTTTCAACACCTCAGTTATCCCCAGAAAACTCGTGGTTTGCCACTGCAACCTCTCTGAAGCTGTAAGATTTTCAGTTCTAGATGAATTTTACCAAAGTTAATGGAATTACTTGTACAGTTTGTGCTGCTTTGTTTTTACATGCTTTATCTTTTTGTATGAATTACTGTAGCCGTCTTTGGAAAAATAATTTAAAATTTAGTTTGCTATTATAATGAGTTACTATTATGACTAATTCTAAAGGGGCTGCTACTCTGCATACTAATTAAATTCAATGACTTTTTATGCTATTGATAAGCTATTTCCTGTAATAACATTAAGCCTCTTGTAATAGAGATATCTTTTTTTCTCAGTCTTCTGTTTCAATTGACTATTTTCAGGTTCAGGTTTCACAAAGACAGGGAGAGATATAATTCAGCTGTAAATAGACTGTGAGCTGAACAGTA